GTCTCAAAATATATATTCTGGAAGCTGTTCAAAGGGGCTATCCATCTGCGTAAAGTGTGTTGGGGACGTGGGAAACAGTGTTGACACCCCTTCAGACAGTGGCCAGCATTGTGCACAGACATTGAGTTGGACAGCCACACTAACCCAAAGACTCGCGTCCAAAAAAGTATTTTGTGTTTTTCTCGATAATTTATTGGTCAATTCAGTCTCAAAATATATATTCTGGAAGCTATTCAAAGGGGCTATCTATCTGTGTAAAGTGTGTTGGGGCCGTGGGAAACAGTGCTGACACTCCTTCAGACAGTGACCAGTACTGTGCACAGACATTAAATAAGTTGGACAGCCACCATCAAAAGACTCGTGTCCAAAAAAGTATTTTGCGTTTTTCTCAATAATTTATTGGTCAATTCAGTCTCAAAATATATATTCTGGAAGCTATTCAAAGGGGCTATTCAACTATGTAAAGTGTGTTCAGACCGTGGGAAACAGTGTGGACATCCCTCTAGACAGTGGTCAGCATGCGCACAGACCATGGGATGGACGAGTATGGCATTCCGGGACAATTTGCATCAAACTGAATTAGGACATCTGAGGACGTTTGCAACAAATGAATGAAACTGAATGGCCAGGATGTCCTAGGATGTTTATAGTGAAAAAGGCCTTTTAGGCCCCATGCAAACGTCCTGAGGTCCCCCCTATAAAGGCCCACATAGTGGTTGTCCAAGGTGCACTAGACTTCGACGACGACTGGAATTGAGCACTAGAGCATCCAAAATGCGCTATGAGGCTGCTTTAAAAGCGGCTCGGAAGTTTTCTTTGAAAACTAAGGGAGTTTTTTCGAACACCATCCGTGAACTAAGCCGCAAGCTTGTTTCAAGTGGTATAACCGGCATCAAAGGTGGCGGATGTTCTTTCTGCCTGTGCACAAGCATTTAAGGTGGACATTGGCAAGGGCCAAGTCGCAGGATGGTATCGCATGCCGTCACCGAGGCAGGAATAGCAGCCGAGATCCAGATGGCAACCGAGCTTCAGAACATAGATAGTAAGTCTATGATGCCTTACTCCTAAATAACTTCACACTAATCAAAACTTCAGCACACACAGTGAGCTGCGATGGAACAACACATCACCATATCACCTATGAGGCAGTCCATAGTCTTGCGCTGTTTCCTACATACTCAGACAATGGACCCAAGAAAGCGATGCAGGTCCGGACATGGGGTGTCCGTGCTATGCATCGCATTCCAGTGTTGATCAGTTGCAGAACATTAAAGGGTCGATGAGCGAGTTCTTCGAAACTGCATACAAAAGTCCAGAGCTTACCGACTTCAACCCGGGTTTAGGCATTGGGAATGCAATTCGGAAACTAACTGGGATGAATTCTGATCATGCCGAAGATCAGAAGAAGCTATTTCGGCTAATATCAGACTGGAGGCACGAAGAATGGATGCTTCACCTTGGTGTACAGCATTGTGAGACAATGTCTGATGAAGCTCGCCAGGAATTTAATCATAACACCATGAAAAGTCTCATCGCTAAATCCGAGAGTGCCGAAGCTTGGTTGGATCTCACCAACAATGAGCAGACAGCACAATTTCGAACTCGTACCCTTCAAAGACTCTGTGAGCTTGGCGAAACCATTGTCAGGGTTCAGCACCCTGCCCTAGGGTGCCCCAGACTCCCCAACCAATCCCTTCCTTCCATTCCTTCATTGTTGCCTTGTTGTTGCCTTTCTGTGTTGTGTACACACGCGCGCACGGGATAGCGTGGGAACTTTCTGAGCGAGCAGCTCGCCCAGAATGTTCCCACGGGTCACAGCCACAGTTCTGGGCGAGCAACTCGCCCAGAACGTTCCCACACTTACTGGGCACTGCCACCTGGATGTTCCCTCCGGGTCACACTACACAACTCTAGGAGCTGTATAGTTGTGGGCATGTGACCCATTCCTTTATATAGCAACCATGCGGGGAGATGAGACCTTTACCCTTCTCATGCCCCGCATAGGCAAGTGTATATATTACCCTTCTTCTCATCTCATGCCCCGCATAGTGTGAGGACAGGCCAGATAGGGGTTGAGGTCAGGGAGCCTCCGAGTCCGAGGCCGGGCCCTGACAACCATCTATCAACAACTTCCCCATGACTTAAAATGTCAAGTTGACACTATTGTATGGTGTGGATGCGCTATGCACAAGGACCTTAATACCGTCAAAGCCGGGGCCAAAGCTATGTCTGAGGCATGGAACCACCTGAAAACTGTGGAGACACCAGGGCCAATACCCCTCCATAGTCTAGCCAAGGCTGCACTTGCTAAGTCAAGCCCGACAAACTCCGAAAAGCCTGATGAGCCTACACTAGATGCCGGAGCAGTCAAGCTTACATCGCTCTGTGGCTCATTATTCAACAACAAAGATGATAAAAAAGGATGTCAGGACGCACACTATCATTGGTTCCATGAGAAGCATGGGAGAACTCGTCGCTTTGGCGATACGAGTAATACCCGCTTTGCTTCACATCTATATGCAGCAATTGAGCTATTCGTTTTCCGCGACGAATATCTTGAGTTCCTGGAAAGCTGGCATGATAGGAAGAATCAGCCGGGGTTTACTCATATGGAGGAAAATTGTTATAAAGGCCTTCAGGACACACCAACGGTGACTGAGCTTGCTGTCCTGGCTCTCTTTGGCCTGGCGGTCTCTATACCTTACTTGGAGAAAATGCGAGCAGGAGACTTTCTATCTCAAAATATGCTAGATATGGGTCCATTCCATGATCAGGTCAAGCAGCATATCGCGGACCTTGCACTAGATTCCAACTTACTTCTGGATACAGAAAAGCACGGCACTTTGGGCCACTTGACAGGAGGAACATGGCACGAGCCAAAAGTGTTTGAAGCTCTCAAGCGGGAGCAGGCAAGAGGAGCACTCCCATTTCTCCATGAAATGCTCATAGAATTCTGTCGAGGTGCTGCGCAGAAGTGGGAAAGTTTTGTTTTTGAATTCTCTAGTGACGGAGTCATTGCCTCTCTAACTCCAGCAGAGAAGGCATCGGCATTCATGCCAACAACAAATGATGTGAATGAAGGGATGCTAGGGACATGGAGGGTTTGGGCAAGGCGGTTTCCATCGCTAAGCCAGCATCGATTTAATTCATTGGTGATGTATAGCCGTAACAACACTGAGGGCTTCATAAGGGAAAATTTCAGTGAAGCCCATCATGCATTCCTCAGGAAGGAAGCTCGGCATCGAGACACACAGAATCTTGAGAGGAAACTATGGACAAAGTTGAACAAGGCTGAGGAAGCAAAAGCCGCTGCCAGCCATGAAGCCCAAAAGGCACAAGATGAGAAGAAGAGAGTGGAGGAGGAGAAACTAGGGAGTACTTTACTCCAGTTGGATGCTACAGTGATTGCTGCAATGACGGGGGACAAGCTAATTGAACAGATCAACAAGCACCGTTGGCTGGCCCCTAAAGACACCTTTATTCCTAATCGAACAGCAGTCAATAAGCTACGAGTTGGGCCCCGGAAGGCACTACTCCAAAATATTATAAAACACTATAATGCACAATCTGCAGAGTCGCCAGGATCTGCGATCTGAGGTACCATAACTGGTCTGTTTACATACTCATTTTATAATGCATCGATTTTTCCGATCGAGTGCTCAGTACATACTTTACATTGTATATTCACACTCTCTAGATTTTTGTTGGGACATGGAATACAGTTTCATGAGTTATCGATGGAACATTTGCGAGGCCATGTTTTGGCCGAATCTGATTACATAAGCGGTACACGGACACAACCTGAGTTGCCCAGTCCCAATTATTGTGCTCGCCCGCCGCTGATACCATAAGTAGCTTCTGCAGGGGGCACCTACTCGCTCACCTTCGCACTCACGCTCGGTGTTAACTGGTCAGCAAAGCAGGGTTTGTAACTTATGACTTCGAGAAACCTGGAGCCTTCAGGATCTTGGGTGATGCACATGAGAGGGCTGGATGATGCGCTTGCACTCTAGTTAGGTTATTTAAGACCAAGTTGGGAGATGAAGTTGCTGGTGGGTGTTCCGACCGGGATAGTGGACACGGCCCAAAATGGGCTGGCAGGAGATGCGATTGCAGAAAAAACAACACAAAAAACTAGAATTCAACTATTCACGAAATGTTCACGGATAATCAAGCATGATGGGAGGAGCTGGGGAAGGCAAAGTATTTAAGAGATAAGAAAAGCTCACGAAGATTGTCAAGAAGGAAAGTGAGAATGCGATAACTACGCAAAACCAGATGGTGACCTGATCGCACGGACACCAACATACGTGACACCACGCTTTATCCCGGACCGAACATACATGCCCCGTTGACTCCGGAAAGAACGATGTCCTATTGCATATCCTACGCTTTTGCCTCCCCAGGAAGGGTCGGGCACAAAGAAGGAAGGGACTGGACGAGGCGCTGGGATAACCAGCCTTCCACGAGCACGCCTCCGCATTCTCCTCGGTCTTGAAGGAGCCCGGGGGTTAGCTAGTGGCTTCCTTGAAACAGGGACCATAGGACACCCAGGAACCTTAGACAAAGTGGGCGCGGATGGACTACATTCTAACACAGCGACTTGAGGTGGACTGATAGAAGCATCAAAAAAAAATTCCGCGAAGATCTATGCAAACTTTTGAAATCTATTAATGAACACTGTTGGACTGGGTCGAACCTGAGATTGAGGGTTCAGATCAATTTGAAGCAACTTTACGCCATCCAATGCAGCTTTTCCCGCCCTGGAACGCCTCAGTGCTGCCTGTTCTTTACTGTCTTCTGCAGGCCGTCCAACGACACTGCAGATAGGTAAGCCCTCCTTCATACGAATGCCGAAGAGAACTAACTGCTCATGTAGAATGTTGCGAGATAGGGATATACTTGAGAGACCAGAGCCTGAGAGAAGCCTGTAAAGGATTTCGTTCTGAAACATGTCGAAACATTCGACCGGCACGTGACTCGGTTCGGCTCCGTAACGGAGTTGGCCGAATTTATTTGCCTATTTGTCCACATATGGCCAACAACAATCAAATCAACCTCTCTGAGCAGTTGCAGCTCTTGCATGAGCTTAACTATTCAGACCTCCACATGCCCTACGGCACTCACAGCAACAAAGCGACCCGCGAATATGGTACCAATCGCGAAGTTCGCTTTCTCGATGCCATCGCCGCGGCACTAACCACCGGAAATCCTGGAGATGTTTTCGCAGCTGCATTCGATAAGCGAGGGCACGTGGAGGTCGTTCTAGCAAAGAATGGGCCTCTGACCCCCGAGGACATAGCCGCCGCAAATGAGCTCGTGTCTCTCATCGGGGATCCCACTGTTGTGAGTGCGATGGAACTCTTTCCCTTTCTAATCCAACGTTGCGAGGCAAATATCAATAAGCGGATTCAAAACTTACACACCTCGATCCAAGGCAGAGAGCTCCACAGCGATTTCACGTCAGCACTACAGGCATACCTACCAAAGACTGACATTCGGGTTGAGTTTCCTGGCCGGGGTGGGGGAGTGTTTCTTGGGAGGTATGGAGATGGAGCCCCTTCGTTCACCACGGTGTGGCGAGATCTCGTTGAAGCGATTACCGACATGACCTCACACGGGTTAGACGCAGAGACCTCTCAGAAGTACGCAATACTTTATCTCCGCGCAGATGCTCTTGGCCGCTCTCGTTTCCTGAATACCCTCATTGCCAATTGTGGTCCCTTGGAGATGGATCGCAAGGGGAGGCTAGAGAAACTGGAGAGGCGTTTAGGCAAGGTTTGCCAATACGTCAGCGGCATATCAGAACTCATCCAAGGAGCCAAGAAAATGTTGCCGATCCGTCACCGCTGGGTTACAGACACTTTTACTGGTAGCGGAGAGGGGGTGTTCCACCTGTGCGATAGCCCTCACGATGCCGTGGCACGTGGACTTGGCACAGCTTTATCGGAGGATATTGTGAACAAACTCCACCAGGATTTTCCCTTCATTCTCAGTAACTGGCGAAGGCGACAAACTGTGCATGCATGTGTTCATGCCGAACTTCGCATTCTTCACTTTGGCTTACCACCACCCCGCAGCTTTCCTGTCCAGCACCCAATCGGGGTCAGCAAGCGAAGCTGCATTTGCTGTGCTCTGTGGATTGAAGTCCATAATTCCATTTTTAAAACTCGGTGGTTGACAAGCGGATCTCATGGGAAACCATATGCGAACTGGGCACTCCCAGGCACTGCATGCGGGTATGCTGTAGGGGATGATGGAAGGAGTTCAGTCGATGATGCAGTGCTGACGGCTGTTTCCATACAATTGACAGATGCACTGGCTTGGCTTTTATCGGGTCCAAGGAGGATCTCTGATGAACATGGTTCAAGTGATGAGAGTTCTGATGGTGACCAACAATCAGAATGGCTATTGCATGTGCTGGACTCTGCTTCTCGGTTTGATTGGTAGGAAGGTTAAGCTCTGGGTTGAAAAAATGGGTTCCTTTCTTTTGATGTTGCCAAGAAACTGCTTGCACCGGCCATCCCATACTGTAGATTATCTTTGTACTAGCACTGCCTTTAGAGGGAGATTATTCATATACCTTCAGGCATCCGACACTTGGACAGAGAATAGTGCAGTGGTCTTGCTAGCCGGATCTGGAGGTAGTCTCATGAATGTGAATAAATAACTCGGCCAGCACCAAAACCCCAAGAGGGGAAAGCTTAGCACGAGTTGGGGAACAGGAAGAAATGTAAAAGAAAGAAAAGGGGAGATGAATAAGAATAACCCGCTGCAGTGGACCTTCGGTCAACATGGTTGCAAGAAACTCCATTCTTATAACAAGTCTAGTTCTTCACAGTGATGGCAATGGGGGTCTCCCATGCCTGGATCACCCAATGATCAATTGTGTTCCCTTTTCATCGAGTTATTCTACATATTCTAGAATCATGCACATACCTACTCTACTACCACACACTCCCCAACCACGGACAATTGATTGAACTGCATGCCCTCCAAACTGACTCTCCTAGGATTGTTTTCCCACCTTTTCATCCTCCAGGCTCAATGTCTCAGCAACAGCATCCTCTTCAAGATTGGCCTCCCCCATCCTAGCAATCACGCCAATGTGTCTCAAAAACACAAGAGCCAGTACCAATCCAACCATCATAAACGAAAAGTTCAGCCACTGAACAGCACGGTATCCTTCCAGGAGAGCAGATTTAGGTGTGCTGGATGATGGTTTGGATGAAGAGGTTTCTTGAGGACCCAGGGATTGTATGTTCCTCGCTACCATTTGATTGAGGACTATGGAAGAGAGAGCAAGTCCTACGGAAGTCCCAACCTGCACCATATCATCAGTCATCTAGTATCAGAACGTGTCGTCAAGTCCATCTCAGTTGGAAGTGTTCATGCACCTGCGTCAACGTAGTGAACAGTCCTCCTGCAACACTCTGCTCATCCAGCCTGGCTACCTTCGCCACAAATAGGCTCCCACTTGCGAAGATAAAATCCGCCCCGAACACACCAAATATTGCAGCAGGAAAGCCAAATACCCAATAGGTCGCTAAGGGATCTATTATTGCGAAAAGGAGTGGCGCAAGACCTGCCATCACGCATCCCGTAACAATCAGAACTATGCCTTCAATGTGTGCAACAGCGAGGGCCACTGAAGAGACCCACCATCAGTATGACGAAATCAAAAAGTGCCGAATGTGTACCTATCCCGTTGAGAATTACCCCGGTAATTGACATAGGAAGCATTCGGAGCATTGCATGTATCTAAAACGTTTCCCGGGTTAGACTGTGCTGCTCGCATCCACGCTTATAGCTCACCGGAGACAAACCGAGATAGTTCTGATAGCTAATACAGAAAGAATGCATAGTGAACCAGATGATCAGGTCGACCCGATTGTATGTGAAACGCACTAGAGCTACGCAGAGAAGTCAAGAATATGGCGAAGACATAAACCAACAATAGGCAGCTTACAGAGGCATGGACTGACCAGCTGCTGAACCCTGCCCATACGAAGAACGCCAGGGCCTGCATTGCAGCCATTCGGCCGTGGGCCCTTGTGAACAAGTCCAGGTTGAGCATGGGTGGTATGGTGAGCAGGTTATCAAGGAAGGTTTCCGTTGGCGTCAATGTCACGCTCGAGGAAAGCCTCCTGGATATTTGCCAGCCAAGTCGTTTCTCCCATAGTATAAATGCACATAGAAGGACGATGGAGAGAACCAGCAACGCGATGATGTCTATTGGATCATGAATTCGAACAGCGGTGAGACAACTGGCAGACTTACAGCTTGTTTTCCACCCATCAGGTGCAGTCTCGACATCGCCGAGAGAAAACGTCAGGAGTATCAACGAACTTGTCACAAGGAACGCCCCCATCCAGTCTACACGCCTGTCAAGACTTGGGTCCAAATGATGTGTATCTTTATCGATGGCGAGCCACCCAGTAACAAATGTCAACCCCGCAAGACCTGCGCTGAAGAAGAACGCGGATCTCCAGTGCGCACTAACGATTTGTAGGTCAATGTGGCTGCCATGTAAAGATATCGAGTACGTGAGAAATTAACCTCGTCTTCTGCGTTAAGACGCCCCCCATTGTGAAACCTAATGCGCTACCCAGTGGCGCCCCACAGCCAAAAGTGGAAAATGCCACAGTCCTTAGCCTGCTCCCGACCTCAAATGTTTGAGCGAGCACCCCCAATCCAGCGGGGAGTCCAGCTGCGATTCCCATTCCTTGGAACGCTCTCATCACATCCAAACTGATTTCGTTCTTTGCAAAACCGCATCCAACGGACCAAACTGCTACCCAGGCTGCACCAGCGAGGAATACCCGACGGCGACCATGCAAATCCGCAAGGCGGCCGAACGGAAGAAGAAAACACCCCGAGGTGAGGGTGTAGGAAGATATAACCCACTGGAGCGAGGCTTGAGGGATATTGAGATCTTCGCTGATACTCGGGAGCGTTAAGGAAAATCCCGATCCGATGAATATCTGAAGTTCGACACTTCGCACTCAGGAAGAACAAGAAGCCAGAAGACTGGAACGCACATTAATGACCATAAAAAGCGTACTAGAGAAGATGATGGTGAAAATCCTCCATCCCGGAAGGGGTGGTTTTGCGACTTGGGCTCCCCCCTAAACGACATTCCGATGCGTGAATTGCGCTAACTTGTAGACGCGTAAACACAAACCTTGACCATGGGTGCTGAAAATTGTGCCACCTTTTCAGTGTGAGCCTGGGCCTCAACTTGTGTCGCCATCTATCCGGCGTGTTCCTAAAAATGGTGCAAGACGCAACGTTGCATTCAGTAACATGGTCGGGAAATAAAGTCGACCCACTCCGAGCGGGCGGTAGTACGAGCAATGCAACACTTAGAGCCCGACTCAAGGAGCGTACGTGACTTGGTGTTCCTTGTGTCTTCGGAGGATGAGTGCTACAGGTGGGGGTGAGCTGGAAAGAGGTCCAAGTTATGTAACGGCGGGGATGCCAGGTATATAGTCATCCGTCATCTATGAATAATAAGCCACACCCTGAAGGGAAGCACATCGCATCAATTAGTGTGCTTGTGTCCCAGGGAGTTCCCGGGACTGTGTTAAGCACGTTTCGAAAAAAGAACCAACAGCCAAACGAGAGCAACATCCAGGGACCCATCAGCCCTGGGATTTTGGGATTAATGACGATGAACCCATCCTCAGTCGTATTGTCTACGAATAACCAAGGGCCAGTTTTAGGGGTTTGAAGATGGTATGGAGCCGCGGAAGTGGAAGCCAGGATCCAGGCTCCATATTCCCTCAGATAGATTCCCCGATCATTTATTTCGCCACCCCTCCTTTTCCAACAGCCCATCCTGCTGGGAACCCAGGTGGTAGGAAGTACCACGGCTTTAGTGAGGCCCGGGAAGTAGGAAATTGGCCCCAGATTCTGCAATGGCTGCTTGGCACTGGGCTGGCCGACGGGTGATCAGGGCTTCACACCGACCATTTTGACTGCGCCACTATTTACCCCTACCAAAAGCTCAAGGGAGAGCTGTAGGCTTGCTCCTGATCCCAATGAAATCGTTACGTGCTTCCTACCCAATTTTGTCTGAATTTTGGGTATTCGAGCTTGCCTTGCAAGGTCAACTCGAACTCACAATTCGTGGGAAACTTTTTTTTCGCACCCTTTTTCGCACCTCTTGTCGGAAAACTGAAGATCTCGTTGTAGGGCGTTACCGAATTCTGCTGCGTGTTGCAAGGGCGTTATGGAATTTCTAGTCTTTTCTCCCTCGCTACTTGGTAACCCGGCCCCTGTATTTGTATGACAGGTCGCACGCTGTCCGCATTGCCAAATTTTATTCGGCTGTCATGGCCGGTTCCCGCTATCAACCCAGTGTCTTTGATTTAGATATTGTAACGCTATACCGGTGCAGACACAATAAGACACGATAAATTCGGCCAACTCCAGAGTGACAGATTGCCTATGATGTCACTGGTGGCGTTTGCGAACTTCGAGGCCGGCGCATGACTTTGTTCCAGCAACAACCTCAACACTCTGATCGACTTCATGATGCGACCTTCTAGATTCTTACGTCCGTTTACATCGCCTCTCCTTCTTTTAAAGCCTCCTTTCTCAGCTTTTAGCCCATACTCCACTGGAAGGTGAGATTTACTTCTCAACAGCCATGGACCCATTCCTCAACCTAACCGTGCAGCAACATGCACAACAATGACCCAGAGGTGATTGAAAACCTTTCCACAACATTGGCATCGCCGTCGAATCCCATATGAATAGATCATCGAGAGGGAGATTAAGCGAAAGGACCCTCATGCCAACTCCATCCTCGAAACAGCACCTGGTTGGAATGAAGCTACGGCCTCTGAGTCGGAAGCCAACATCAAGGTATGATGATGATTCCGACATCCTTACCTCCAAGATCTGTAGTACAGGTCTTTATTGCCTATTCTTCCAGGCCGAACGGCACGGCGGCATTCCAGATGCGAAAAAGACCCTGGAATATATCAAGAAGAGGTATCATGATGAGCCTAAAACTCCCATTGCTGATACCCCGCACAAATACCGCGCAAACACGGTAGGGCAGACGGATGACACAAGCAACCCGCATACATCTGCGGACTATGAGAGGGACGAGGTATCTGGGCCACTCGGCTCCAAGCACGACAAATAACTGGGCGAACAACACGCTAATAAGGGACAAAGAAGCTCTGAAACATCAACAAAGAATCCCAGGGAATACTCAGCAAAGAAGACAGGAGAAGACCATGTTGTTGGTTGATTGCTCACTTTCGCGCCGTACCAGTTCATGACATCACACGGGGGTTGGTTTTTAAAAAAAGGCACCACTTTCAGGCACGCTACAGTATTCTATTTCGTTGAAACAACCCTACCAGAAATCCATAATTTCGTATCACAGTACAGTAATGAACACCGGGTATGGAGGCGGCGGCTCGGGTCAACATTACTACTTATGAGAGTAGGAGTGCAATGCCAGAAGCAATGGATGCTGCAATCACAGTGTAGCCCGTGCGATACACAGAACGCACGCTAAGGACTGGAGACATGGTAGCGTCAGACTAACAGTCACAACAATTTTCTTCAGTACTTACATGCTCCCAAATCCCAGGACAAGTGGCGCAACCCGTTCAGAGAGTGGAAAGTGAAAGGAAAAGCTACGATTGCTTTTCCAGTGTATTTTACCCAGTCTGGAACGCCATGAACGTATTCAATGATGTGAGTGGAGTCAAATGGAATGCCGAGAACGGGCGCTGCCAAATATCCCAGCAGGAAACCATATAAACCTTCATGCACCAACGGTGGGTTTAGTAGAAATGGAATGACATGCCCATTTCACCTACCAACACTGAGTCCCACGCCAGCGACACGGTGAACGATGCTGAGGAGCCACGTCAATTGAGGCTGGTAAATGGTGAAATGAGGGCTTGATGGCCGCCTTAAACGTTGACTATTGAGAATAGCTTGAGAGGAAGGCGAAACACTTTCGACCTGAACGGCTCGACTGTCGCGAATGTGAGGTGGATAAGCCATGGAGAGAGAAGATGTCAGAACGAACTAAGACGAAGTGATGAGCCTTTGGGTCGGTGTGCGGAATGCAGCTGTCCACGAAATCAGTCCACCCTCAGTGCGTCAAGCAGAAGATAGGCACCTCGAGCCACAAAGGCTTTCCTACCAAGCCCAATCGTGCGGGTTACGATCATAGTCACCTTCGGTGGGGGAAGTGAAAGAGTGGTGAGTGGGAAATCGAGAGATTATTTAAATTCGCCGGGTTTTCACGTGCTCGCAAGACTCTAACTTATATGTAACCCTCCCAAGGCACAAGATGGTCAACATCAACATGCTCGTCGTGGTCCTCGTTCTATGTCTAGCGTCCCTCTCATTTTCGTTCCAACATCAAGCTGCCGTGGATTTCCCAGGGGACCTCTCCCGTTCAATCTCCGAACAACTGGATCCTAACAACACGCTTGCCGTTGTAGAAGGCGCATTCCCGTTTATATCTACCAACACGTCAGGTGTTCGTATTCCTGCTGGGTGGTCTTTCAGTATTGGCTTCCACCCTTTCCTGTCAGTTGATGATGGGTTTTCTGTTCAATTTGGCGCGGCCATTCGCTCTGAAGATGGCACTATCTCTGAACTTCCTGCCTGGCTTGACTTTTCCAACAACTCCCTCACGTTTTCTGGAATAGCACCCGTGAAAAGCGGCCCCGAAAAAGTCTTTGATTATCAGTCTCCTCGGACTGTGGATTCACTTCAAATCCTTGTTTATTGCTCCTTGCGTTCTGATGGGGATGAGCCGGTACAATCCGCTTCGGGGTCCTTTCTATTGATTGTAACCCCGCATGTGTTGACAGTGGAAAATAATATTGTTGACGTGGTTTCAACTTCGCGAGACCATGTGGTGAGAAACATGGAAAATCTCTTATTCCCAACAATGACGATTGATGGACATCCGGCAACTGGTCTATCGTCCATTCACGTAGACATGGAAATCCAGAACCAGACTTGGCTAAATTGGGACAGGTCTGTTCCCACTACCGAAATGGATCAAACTCCATCTAAAGTCTGCTTACTCAGTGCCACATTTCTTCTAAGCGGAGTAGTCCCCGATCGGTTCCTAAACGGATCAATGTTCTCGGTCCCTGCTCGACTTTCTTACGATTCTGCATCTTACCCGTTTCTGGTGAGGTTTGAAGTGAACCCGTTTCCGTTCACGGCCTTTGATCATCCAAACATCCTCATTGAGCCACGCACCCCATTTAATGCCTCATTGTCCACATTCCTACGCGACCCCCTTCAGTATCAGTACAGTCTACCACAATCCCTCAATCCTAGGTGGCTCTCTCTTGATGTAGAGACGCACTCACTGCTGGGGATCCCCCCCGACTTCGCACGAGGCTCATCCAGCACTCCAATAACTATAATAGGGAGAGGCATAGATTCTGGTTTAACATCAACCGTATCCTTGAATCTTGTATGTGATTTACACGCAAAAGCGTCCAACTCATCAAAACACATTAAGTGGTCAACCATCATACCAGTTATGTTGACATTCATCATAAGCGTCGCAATATTCGTTGGAACCATCGTGAAGCGATCAGTGTCTATTAAGCACCCTTCGATTGTCACCGCGAAGAGCGACAAGCATTTCTCCTCCACGCGATCAACACAGCGTCTATCCGGAACATCATCCGACCGTGGTGAAGATTTAGTGTTTGATGCTTCTGTTCCTTACGTCGGGGCTGCTCCTGGGGAGCTACTTACCGAGGAAGCGGCATCTGTTGGAGTGCGACTTGTCACGGCGCACCAATCTTCGGATCGTAGTCTTGACGATGGTCCATCTCCACATCTCGTTTGCGAACCAGTTTCAGCTCATTCACCGTTATCTCTTGGTCAATTCAACGATAGTCGCTTGACTCATACGCCAGATTCTACATCCAGTTGGGACCGGGAATCGGAATGGCTAGAAAACAAGCGGTTTGCCTCGTGGAGCGCATTTTGGCGCAGAGCCGATCTCGCTCCTGGTCCGTCAGGCATCGTATGACTCGAGATAGAGAATCATGCATTAACTTTGGAAAACCGTATATATTATCCATCACCTACACCTGTTGATGATTCGATTTGTCGATTTTAGAATCCATGCAATTATGGCACTATCGCTGTAGGGAGAGAGAACCAGAATTGGTATTGACTTGGTAGTTGAACGGAATGGCAACGGGCAACTAAGATATCGACTCCTCGATGTGGCTTGTTTGGTAAGGGAGGCGCAACGCACTTGCCAGTCCACATGTTATTCAATCTGCAGACAGCTCCTGTACACTTTTTGAGCTGCAAAGGATGTGAAGTCAGCGTTCAATCCCACATTTCTGCAGTTGAGCGTCGGCCAGGTCTGGGGCTTCCCGCTCCGCGGGCAATTCCCATCTTTGGAGGAAACGAATCTGACATTTTTGGCATTCTGACGATCGTTTAAGTCAGTGGATGGGTTCATTGCTCATGCTCCCTTCTGCAGCTTCGTTCATGTACGTGCACTCACATGCATTCTACGCCCTGAATTTAACCCGATCGAAACAGAGTGACATCATATGCCGTAGATTTGATGGATTCCATCTCTTCAATATATATTCCGGGTGGCGTTGACAATCCAAGAATCTGGCACTCCCTGATGCCGCGCGCGTCAGTATTGCCGTGCGCACAGGTGCCTCAGCCGTTCAATTACAATTACATTGTGATCTCACTTTCAGGCTCATGACGTACATGTTGTGGTGTTCTTAGAGATTGAAGAATGCAGTAGCCTCTGACGCCAAATATGTTCCTTGCATCTTGCACCCAAATCCAGACGCCTCTGGATCGCTCCGTGGCTCGGAGTTACGCTATGGGTGGGATTAGCCTCGCATCCAGTGATTTGATATGTTTGGCCTCGCATGATCAGATGTTGCCAAAATATTGGAGACAAGCAGAATGGCAGCTATTTTTACCTCAGTAAGAGAAAAATGGTTCCTCTGGTGATTCACGGTGGTGATCCGCATGCTGAAACGATCGCATTTACGGCCAAACCCATCTTCGCAAGCATGTACGAAATATTATAAGTGATGAATCAAACAAGGGAGTACGGAAGTCATGACATCAGACATGTGCTTGGGCCAGCTGCAGAATCTGCATGATCAGCCGTAACCACAGTGGATCGGGATGAAGAGCTGGTACTAGGGGGGCGAATTGGTTTACGAACAGTTTTTGCCCGATGATGGCATGATGTTTGCAATGCAATGAAGTTGCCGGCGACACCCCAGAATCCTGACGCCCTTGACATAAATCCATAGCTACGAACGTTGTACGGTCAGAGCTTTAATAATTGACCCAACATTCCTTTGTAGTAGTACCACCGCATCCTGCCCGGTCCATAGTCTGGGAGAGCTCCAAAACCAGATTCAGATCTTCCCAGAAAACATGCTATATGAGGAAGTAGGGATGGATGATCACCTAAAATTCATGATGAAGAACAAGGACGATCCAAACCACCTCGCGTACACGGATGGCTGGGATGCCGAGGAGAACGGTACTCGACAGGATACGATACGGTCACTCACCTAAGGGAGACTACATTCGGATACAAGGAATCATGGGTAAAAGCGTACAGGCCTTTCGATGCGGAGGTGATGGGCCTGAGGGTTTCCAAAGAAAAAATTGAGAGGCAGTAGGGTTCGATTTAATCGCTTGGGACCAACAGAGTACTCAGTAATTTGCGCTAATAACACAGGAGCATGAAAGTGCCTCTTCCAAGGAAAACCAAGTAAGCTGCAGGGACGCTCGAGAACTCAGGATGACCATGTACAAATTCATGTGCGACCACGAGGACTTCAAATCGCATTAGCCCCCAAGCACGGCGAAGTGCCAGGAAACGAGGGAGCGGACCACCTGGATCAGGTCCCAACCTAGGGCCGCACAGTGATCTCTCACATTCATTGAAGGCTCACGAAGATGTGATTTGGAGACTCGCACTATAGGTTACACACGCCGACAAACTTTCGGCCACGTGGCGACTAGCGGAGCACCGAGACCACTTGACATGCCTTCCGTACGCCTCAAAAAGGCTTACTCAACACTCCCTCTCTCATCAGCAGAGGCGGACAATAGCCCCGTAGTGCGCGAGATAACGTATTGAGAAAGCTGAAAACTCATATTTGTCTTTTATCCAAGGAATCCAGCGGTCGTTCGGGCCATCTGCAAACGCCTAAAAAAAACTTTGCATCACTATTTCGCCCTGGCTCTACTGATGGCCTCCACATTGCTCCCGCTGGACCCTCGCACTCCCGGCCTGGGCAAGCTTCCCTGGAGCCCAGCAACGCAGATCGTCATATCTCCAATGCTTGGATCAACAGCCGCGATTCTGACCCAAATTTGGATCAGTATACTCGTTCTAGTTGGTTTTCCAACAATTTGGCACGTAGGAGGCGCCAGACTGTATCCCAGCGTTCAAGAGCGCAATCCACATCTCATGACGAACAACAGCAGCCCCTCCCGACATCAGGGGGGGTGAGTACAGATCGCCTTGCGCCCCAAAACAACAATACCGCCACAGTCAGTAGGTTACCTTTGTTACTACTCACTAGACACGTAGGATTGACATTGCTTGTCGTGTCGAAGCATCTGCTGTTTCTCAACATGTCCGAAGCAATGCGGGACCAGATAGGCCCACAGATGAAGAAATGTCTCATGAACATCATCCGCCCAGTCCCCATTTTCAAGACCATGATTATGAATCATCTGACTACACGACGGATGGAAGCGAAGTCGATGAGGAGGAACACCATCTAGATGAGGTTGTAGAAGTAAGATGCCTACAGTATGATCATTTCCCGAGGATAGCAGTGTTTACTATCGGCCCCTGTAGCATCTGGATGTTATCGATCCCCAAGTCGCCGTCATATCCCATCTTTCGAACGCCGCGAATTCCATCATTATCCCACGCCTTCCATTATATTCGCGGCGCCCAGTTGTCACCCTCCCCACCTTAACGCCCAGTGCTACCACGGACAGCTTGCCCATAAAGGAATCAGTCCATGCAGATGCTGAGGCAGAGAAAAGGCGGCTCTTCAAGAGACATAGGAAGAACGAGGTCGAGCTGAATGCTCACGTCGAGCACGTCCTCAAGCGACGCGCAAAATTTCGAAGAGTATTGAAGGGTTTGTGGGGTTTTTTAAAGACGCGTAAGCCAGCAAAACGTGATCATTGACGGCAAAACTTACCAAGGCACTCAAAGCTGCGGGGATCGTCACTGGAATTTACAGCTTCTTATGCGGTAAGTGTAGGCTGGGTTTGCGGCAGCAGCATATTTCAAGGCTGAAATATCTGTGGAAGCGTTTTGGGGCGCTGCTATTGTCTTGTTCCTCGTTAAATGGATCAATCTGCACAACACCCAACATCAGAAGTTCTGGATTGAACTTAGCAGTCAAATAGAGAACGGTTTGTGGTCTCTGTGGCGTCCAGTTCTCGTGCCCAAACCTTTCTCGAATAGCTTTGTTCACGCTGACAGGCATTGGACTGCTGCCATGGAGGGTCGTGGATACGTATCGTGAGGATTCTTGAACTTGAAAAAAAAACCATTCTACTAAACGCCCGTTTTGCAAGTTATCCTGAAAATTTGGCATTACAAGCGATTAGATGCGAAGCTGCGCCGACAACAAAGCCTGCCCCCTCTGGAGAACGAAGATGACTTGCCTGATCCTGATTTGGATCCCAATTTTAGGCATGTATTAACCGAGAGCCAACAAAGAGATCTGAGACGACGTGAGTATAGTTATGGTTCCTTGAAGGTGTATGAAGCAATCAGATAACGCGATCAATTGCAGAACAGAAGAGGTTTCAGAAAAGTCAAACATGGTATCGCCCACATGCGACCGACACCCACCGCGTAAGTCCAGAACACGCAGATGTTACATATCTGCTCATATTTTGATATGTAGGCATTCCCAATAACGTAACCACTTTCTCAACTTCGAAACGCACACTACTAACGCAAACGTCATCAGCACAGCGCTTTGGATTTGCCTTCTCGTGGATGGCAATTCGTTTTTCCAAGTAAGGACTCATTTCAAGTTATGTTGCTTTCCAGCCTGAGTATCTCTATAGTGTTTCCTCTGTGGATGCATGTGGGGTTTAAACAGGTGAGGTATTGATCGTCAATTATCACAATCTTCTATTGATACCCCCGGCACAGGTACAACCGGCCAGCTTGGACCACTGGTTTATTAATCCCTGCATCATTCTTGTGTGCAATCGCTGCAGGAATCATCATTGCCAAAGGTGGCAGCAAAACGAAGAAAACCGCGGAAGTGCATGCACGTCTACTTGATGCGTTGCAAGAGGCACAGAAAAGACCTCTTGTAGTGGAACCGGCTGATCTCAAAGATGATGATATCTCTCGCCCATCGAAGGGACAGCCAACGACCTTAACGACATTTGGGGGACACATATGACGATTTGTATCATTACTGTGCATATTTGTTCATGATCATTTCAGCTACGCGAGTAATTTTAAAGACTGGTTGTGATAGGGCTAACAGTTCGGTTCCGGTCGCTCACTGCAATCCGTGCTTCGCAATGGTTTGAACATGGTACAATAAATGCTTGAAAAGAAACCACTTGTGTGCACGCAGGAGGAGACGCAACAGATTAGCGGGGCAACAGTCCCGGCAAATGCCAGAACCTCTGGAATAGAAGACGACCCGGTTAATTTACAATAGGCAGGAGACCGGGGAAAGAGGAGGGTTACGCAAAAAACGAGGACAACGAGGAATAAGGAGGGAAAAAGCAGAGGTTACAGAGAACAAGGAAACAACCGAAAAAGGAAACCTAGAAAAACCTGAGTAAGCAATCGGGATCCCACCCACCGAGAGTAACCGAAGGTCACAACACCTCCCTCTCGGCGAGGTTACCGGAAGCAAGGAAGTCCAAGGAAAGACTTCGTCAAAAAAACAGCATACAGGCCAAAAGAACAAGACTAAGAAAGATAATGCCTTCAGCAGAGGATAAGGTATAAGAGGGCCAGAGCCCTGTAGCATAGGTGGACAAAACACACATATGAGATCACCCAGAGAAATCAACCCAGGAATGCAGCAGCAATAAACCTGAATTGGCATGACTGTAACCTTGGAAGGGACAGTATGTGTAAGGCTGACAGTGGGTATGGCACATAAGATAAAGCACCACTGGGAAATATGCCATGTGCAAAAAGAGAACAAAGAGTGTGTTTATGCTGATTGCACACAAGTCTAATTTAATCTTGTATGTCTATTAAATATTTTCAGGGCCCAGCCTCGGACTCGGAGGCTCCCTGACCTCAACCCCCATCTGGCCTGTCCTCACACTATGCGGGGAATGAGATGAGAAGAAGGGTAAAGGTCTCATCTCCCCACATGGTTGCGATATAAAGGAATGGGTCACATGCCCACAACTATACAGCTCCTAGAGTTGTGTAGTGTGACCCGGAGGGAACATCCAGGTGGCAGTGCCCAGTAAGCATGGGAACGTTCTGGGCGAGTTGCTCGCCCAGAATTGTGGCTGTGACCCGTGGGAACATTCTGGGCAAGCTGCTCGCTCAGAAAGTTCCCATGCTATCCCATGCGCACGTGTACACAACACACAAAGGCAACAACAAGGCAACAGTCAAAGAATAAAGGGGGTGAAGTAGGTGGGGAGTCCGGGGCACCCTAAGGCAGGGTGCTGAACCCTGACAAATATCAAGTAATTTTGTCAGTGACAGTTTGGTTTCTGGTTCAATCTGAACCTAGTTAAGTGTCTAGGCAGGACTCCAGCCTCTATGACTTCGTAATATTATATAGAGGCTGGATTCAACCCTTGGTTCATGAATGGGGATTTTTACTGAATGGTTGTCACAGTTGGAAAAGGGTCTTCACTGTTGCCATGCCTTACATAATCAATATGATTGGGTTGAATTCCAGGATGAACTCGGAATAAAAATTATTTGTTTATGTTTACTGTACAAACACATCCAAATTGCCCATCGGGTGTGTCAGGTCCTTCGATGAATCCGTTCATGGTCAAAATCCCTACTCTACCTCATTTCTATACCTCTGGTCCAACAGGAAATATTGGCTATAGCCCACAAGCAAGATTTTCTTCCAATAAAGCTCACAGTGATGCATCACCTTCAATCCCATCACGAGGCCGTCCCAAATGCAAAGTTATGGAGGATGAAGATTCCCCAGTAAAAAAAATCTGTGAAAATTCAAGGGGAGCTGCCACTGCTACTGGTCAGCAGGTGGAGTCAACTAGAGGCACATTGGAACCACTCTCGCCATCCAAGAGGCTTAACCGAGAAGTGCATACCAGAAAACAAAATCTGCCCGACCCTGTCATGTGGGAACCAATGGCTTCTAGTTGTTCCCAGACACTGGCAGGGCAGAGCAATACACAGCCAAGCACCTTCAGGTGTTCCATGTGTCACAATTCTACTGTTGAGCAAATATACCCAAAGAATGATCGGCTGAGGCTCAAGCCTCCCGCAATTGTAGAACTTGTACTGTCAATACTGAAGTCACAGAACTTCACGCTCAGCGAGTTTCTTGTTATTCTGTTTAGCAACCCCATAGAATTCAGTGCATTGGCAAAGGAGATGCTGAAGTGGTTCATAGGGGGATGTTGTTAGACACTGATCCGGAGTCGGCACCGAAGGTCGCCGATGCGGGCCGCTATTGGCCGCGATGGCCGTGATGCCGCGAACAAGGCCTGAGGGTAGGGCATTTGGCCTCAGCAACTCTAAAGGGAGTGCTGTGCCCCCTAGCTGTCACTTGGCCCTCATTTCGGACTCACTGGGGTTGCTTGTTGGGGTCAGGACTTAGGGGTCGTGGTCACGTCGATATTAGAGCTAAGGTACAATAAAGTATCATACAGGATATATATAGGAGGAAGAAATGAATGGAAGCGGACCCGGGCCAGAGGCCGAAGGGTCCGGAAGCAAACAAGAATAAGGAGCGGGGTTGGCCACATAGCGGCCGGCAATGACCGAGGGTCAAAACAAACAATAACAGATAAATAAAGGAAAAAGCGTAGGGCCGCGATAGCGGCGATGGTATCGTAGCAGCGCCGGACTCGGAGTTGGGCCGGGGTCGGGCGTGGGAATGGTAGCGGCCCTGTAGGGGCCGAGTGGGCGGGGTAGAGGAGTCGCGCTGGGCACGGTGCCAGAGGCGGACTCAGGGCGGGAAGGTCGGTGTGGCTGTGGGGGAGTCGGCCAGGTGCAGGGGAGCCTAGGGGCAAGCAGGGGAGTGAGCAGGGAGTCCTCAGGGAAGATAGGGCTGAGGTCGGGGCTCGCGCTCACGCTTGCATAGCGGGAATGGGCTCAGGCGGCATCGGGACGGGTGGGGAGCGGGCCGGAATGCATGGCCGTGACAGATGTACTGTGAAGAACCATCCAGTTGATGTTGTACACGCATTATACAACTGTCATATCCGTGCATACCCAATCCCGACCCGACTTCCGGACCTCCTCCTTCCCCACCTCCGGAGTCCTACCCTACCGCTGTCCATTCCGATATTCACCTTCGGTCCTGGCACCACACCTCCTCTTACCTCCCATGCCACCTCCACTCCTCCTTCCCTCTCATCCTCCTACGCTTCTCCCGTCTGCTCCGATACTCACCTCGGACCAAACACCGCCTCCCTCACCACCCTCCTCCTACTCCTCCACTCCTCCCTCACAACACCTCCAACCTTCTGTCATCCTCCTACGCTTCTCCCGTCCGCTCCGATACTCACCTTCGGACCTGACAACTCTCCTTTCCACCACTCCTTCCCTCTTCCCTTTCTCCTCTCTCTTGCCTCTGGTACTCTTCCGCTGACCTCCCGCCAAGTTATGACCTTCCACTGCTGTCCGGGCACCGCTCGTACCTTTGCTCCAAGCCTCCGTCATAGTCCCTACCTCGGACTTCGACTCCACCTCGGACTTAGTCCATTGCATTGGTGACCTCATACTACGTAAACACCATTGCCAATATTCCTCGGACTTTCAACCCCACCTCCATAAGCTCCGCAACCTCCGAGCTTCGCGGATCATCTTCGGCACTTTTGCCGCTTGTAATGTATCTCTTGTGTTTTCCCCTCATCCCTATTTGGACTGCTGCTTCTTCCCATTCTAGCCAGTTAGTCATCATCCCCACTTCCCCTCATCCTCCTGCCCCTCTGGGCCTCGCCCTCCTTACCTCCTTTCGGACGTATCACAGGTTCTGCCTTATGACCTTCGGTACCGCTCCGCTTCTGTCATCCCTTTGTTCCCGTTCGGACGCCTTCGTTCCGATTTGGTTCCCCTTTGTTTCCTTGTGCTTTCGCCCCCCCATTATATATATCGGCGCTTGTACATACTCGTTGGAGGCTCAGTCCGAAATCGACCTGAAATGCCCCCTAGAGACTTCCTGCTCGCCTACTGTGAAATTAAGGACCAAATGGACAAACAGCAATGGCACAGCGCTCTGCTTGAGTTGCTGAGGCCAAGGTCCTTCCACGCTAAGTCTCCAATTCCACTCTGGAGTCGTCTGAATCCGCCCATCTCTAACAACAACCACCCATGGGCACGGCCCCAACAATCCTATGAACCCCCCTATGACACATTGCCAGAATATGCCATTCCAACAATGTTTTCTCAGCCAAACACCCAGATGGACAGCAAAAACACATACAGCGACTTACAACACTACTTCATTGCACGAGTCATTGACCGAATGGAATTGGAAATCAGAGTTCTACTGAAATCCCCTTACTTGCGAGCAAGGGATACAGTCCTAGACTTCTCAGTTGATGCGGTCCAGAAGATTGCAGTTAGTGTTGCACCTGTGACCTGGATGCTGCTTACATGGATTGCAGTCGGTGGAGAGAGAGCTGCACAACTAAAGGAAATGAAGTTCAGGGATTCAGGGAAGGGACATGGGGCTAATCATGTACGGGACCCTTATTTAGTGAGTAAAGGAATCAGTACCTGCCAGAGAAGCAACTGACAGTGTTTGAGGGATGTGCCATTGCACTGATGATGCTACTGTACTTTCGCACCAAGGGGCTAAACAAATTCCAGAGTATCATGGGGATACTCATGTTCTCCGAGAATTCTTCCAAGTCACTTCAGTCAATCACTGGCCGAATGGGACTCGCAGTTGCAAACAGCTCAACACTCAAGCGCCTGTACTCAATGAGTGCAGTTGCATCCAAAAGAATTCGCACTATAGGGGCAAACTGGGTCAACAAACCTGTGTCATCTCACGTTGTTTATGATAACATCAACCAATACCACCAAAACTGGTGACCTTCCCTCTCTTCACAAACATCTCTAGAAAGTGGGACTGCTGCAACACTAATTATGCAGCTGGGTGTGGCTCCCAAGGCTTTTGATGGCTTTGAATATGAGGAACGCTGGCAACATGTCAAATGTGAGGACATCACGTTAGCAAAGATCTGGGAGGACATTGACCAA